AAAATTTTAAGAACTACAAATTTTGTTATTAAAATATTTTTGAAATGTGTGTGAAAACTTGGATATTAAATCTAAAGCCATTCTCAACCCCCTACAATCCCAAAACATCTCCTTTTTTTTTGTAAATTTATCCCTTATAAAACCATTAAGCATATAAGTCGACCGATTCTAGTGAAACTCTTGGGAAAGAACTGCATCTCTCGTGAATTATTCATGTTTAAGAGGATATCACATTAAAATCTTGGTGTCGTCTTTATTTGTTGATCGCTTAACACCTATTACCTATTGTATAATTTAATAAAGTTGGTTGCCGTGATCTTTTAGTTACGATGCCAATTTAGTTCTCTCCTTATATTATATTCCCCATTCTTTCATTCTGTAATAAATCAATAATTGATAAAAATAATAAATAAGCTCTGTACTCGACGATTACTGGAGAGTTTGACCGCTTGCCGAATGTAGACAGTTGAGATGCCCAAAGCTGACCACATCAGGGATCACGAACTGCCATTTTCTTTCTTTTTGTTTGCCTGCCGGCGCTGGACAATACATATTCGATGGATTTATACCACTTCCGACGGCATTTTTGAAAAATAATGGAATTGTGTATTAATCCAAAACAAAGGAGATCCAATGTTATTGCCAACTTTACTTGGATGAATTATAATGACTAAATAATCATCCAGTTTTAGTAATGATTAAAGTAAAGACAAAAGTTATTGTAAACTTGTCTGGCTTTATATAAAAAAAAATATTAATTACAGGTTTTTTTATGCATATGGCCAAATAAATGGTTAAGCATTTGGGTAATGAGTTTGAGGCTGTTGGAAATTACTAGTGTATCGTTACCGTATAAAGAACAAAAATTAACAGTGTTTGTTCTATCAAAAATTAATAGTGTTTGTTAAATATTGGCGATCTGATTGAAAAAATCGCAACCTGAAATTCAAATTGCTATACAATTTTATTTTGAAAAATCGAGATCGAACCACGATTTAAGAACAAAAATACTCTAGCACTACTTATTATGTACAACTTTTGTATAGTTTTACAACTCTTGATAAATGTTGGTGTAGCATATGGCTCATAGCTATATGGTCTGGAAGAAGTTTGTTAATTATGATTCTCACAACCCATCTTTAATTTGAGATCCCTCAGGTTCGTACGATCCTACAGGCGCTTCAAGATCGTTGGATGCAGATGATGATTGCTATTAGCTACTATGTACAAAGGGCAAATAGTTGCTAAATGGGTCTGGTGGGGTGTGAACTTGCTAGGACTTAGCTTAAAGAGGATTTAGTTTCTTTCTTCTCCCACACGTATAAAAGACAAGTAGTTGCTTAAGGGGTTTGGCGGAGTATGGGTCGGTGCTCTATAGGACTTGTCAAAACATACTATAAAAGTGGTTTTTTTTTTCATCTCACACGTTTTTTCTGATGTAGATTAGACAAGTTTTCCCTTTCGTTGAGACTTAATTAAGTTAAAGGGGTTTTTTCTTCTCCTACATTTTTCTGCTATAGATTAGACAAGTTTCTCCTATGTACTTTGCTATGACCAGGAGAAATCGGTTTATTGGTATCCCAAATATTAAATAATGGCCAAAATAAATCTCAATCTAAAATGTTTCTCTGCAATATTATACATAAAAAATACAAAATTAAATCACGTCATGTTTAATTATGAAATATAAAATAATAATAAGGTGAACATAACATATTAGAAGCTTTCTAATTATATATATGAATATTGGAGTATTTATGTACAATGAACTAAACTTATACTTCAATAAAATTAAATCATTGTCTAAATCTCAATTGAGTTTCAAATTAATCATCCATCAATACAAGTAAGCAATTCTACTTCTAAAATATTTAATCATGAGGATAAACACAAGTTAATATGAACAAGCAATTTCTTACAATCCTGTATTTAATTATAAATGTTTTGTTGGGGGAACCATGATACAAAATCAGTATCAATCATAAACCCAAATAATTAGTACCAAATAATGATAATATTATTATGGTATTTGGTGTATCGCATATAGTGATACCAAACTTCCACCTCTAGGCATTAGCTACGAACAATATTTTGGACATTGCAATCCTTGGGGGTTGGTCACTGACTTTCCAAGTAATGTTAATTACTAACAACTTAAATCACTACTCATTTGTTAGGGGTAAAACTAATATGCACATGGACATGACTACATGGAATGACTAAGTGTTCTCATTCCTTAAAGGGAGATTTACTACGTTTGTGTTTACACCATAAAATTTGTCTTGTACCACATTGGTGAGTTACAAGATAATCAATGAGTTTATAAGTCCACACCCATTATAACAATTAATATTGTTTAAGTTGGGCCTTATGGATATTGATTTTAAGCCCAAGCCACTAAGTCTGGAGAGTGACATGCCGCCTCAGCGAAGAGAGCCATGTCCATCTAAAATCTAGAAGCATGTGCCGCCTCATGAAGAGGGCCATGTCCATCTAGAAATTGAGGAGCACATGCCGCCCCGGGACCAGTACCGAATGACTGAAAAATAAACTAAGTCTGGAAGACGTACATGCCGCTTCAAGGAGAAGCATGTGCCACTTCAACGAGAGGTCCATGCCGCTTCACGAGAAGGGGCATGGACGCGAGACAAGATGAGACGTCCATGCCACTTCACGAGAAGCTGCATGGACGCAAGAAAAGATACTAAGTATGAGAGAGCCATGTTGTGTCACGAGAAGGGTCACAGACATGACTGAGAAGTCCATGGCCGCGAATGAGGAGGCCATGTCGCCTCATGATCCAAAATATACTAAGTCTGAGAAGGCCATGCCGCCTCACGAGAAGGGTCATGTGCATGATTAAGAGGTCCATGGCCGTGCCATGTGATGGCCATGGACGCGAAGCAAGAGGCTTAGGCATGATTGAAAAACTAAGTATGAGAAAGTCATGCCACTTCAAGAGAAGAGCCATGTGCATGATTGGGATATCCATGGCCGTGTCATGAGAGGGGCCATTGACACAAATAAAAAGGGTGTGGTGATGGAGCATTATATCACTAGTGAATATGTCTCAAGAGGTCCATGACCGTTAGACAAGAAGGCCATTGACATGAGTAAGAAGTTCATGGCCGTAAGACAAGAAGGCCATGGACATGGGTAAGAAGTCCATGGCCATGAGACAAGAGAACCATGACCCGCTTTGCGAGACACTACATGCTCGTCAAAAGACTAGCATGGCACGAGATTCAGAACAAGACTAGGCGAGGCAAGCTACACTCCAAAACCCATGACGGTTCCAAGAGAGGAACCTAGGCGGTTGAAGGAGTAACCACCACTCTGAGGAAGCATGGAGCGATTCTTTTTGGGAGTTATCCAAGAGGCGGTTTTCTACCGAAGAAGGAGGAGCGGTTCTTTGTAGCAGTTATCCAACAAGCGGGTTTCTATGACTTTTACCTCCTCGGGGCTATAAATAAGAGGAGGGGTCGACAGAGATAAGGGTTCCAAAACCAACACTCTGACACACATGTCAAGTTTATCCTTTACCTTTTCTCTATCATGTAGCCATAGATGTAGTTCGTAGTTTGGAGCTCTCGCCGAACCTCCATAGGAGTAGAAGTAATTTAATTTAGATCTCGTTCCCAAAAACCATCAATCGAACACCCTCGTTCGAACTGTGTTTGAAGAGGTGTGAACCGTGTTTAGTGATCGTTGTCCAAAGAAGTCAAAGGTGCAATCAATTTATTTCAACGCAAGTTTTCTCGCCGGAAAACAAATTTGGCACACCTGGTGGGACCTTGTGTTTGATATGATGGCTCCACGACATAGACAACAAGATGAAGATCTTCTACAAGTCTTTGTAGAAGAGGATCAAGTGACTAGCTTCAGAGTTGGTCGAGTGGATGTTGTTGCCGGAAACAATGGCGGGATGAAGGCTCTGCCAGCACCGGCGACAAGTTTGGATGAAGCAGCTTCCATCACTTTGCTCCATCAATCCATTGAGGAGGGTATGGTTAACCCCCAACAGGTAAACCGACGTTTAACTTCTCATATTAAGCCCCATGCTTCTCTTATTGAATGTATCGATTCTCTCATTGAATGTCATGATTCTCTCATTTCTTGGATGGATACATGTCTATAAAATCAACGTGCTATTTCTCTATCTTTATAAGTTGTAATTATTTTTTCACATATAATTAGATTAATTATGCTCTTCAAATTGATATCAACTTTGATACAATTTTTAACAAAATTTTACACATAAAGAACGAGTACATGGTGATCTATCGGATCTATAAATTTCTGGAAAAAAATATAGGACTAATATTCATACCAATATGTACACTTCCATACCACATGGTATAATCTTATGTTATACCAAGTATTCCCACCATGATTTGAGTTAAAACAGAGGTGGTACGAAATTCTATTTGTGCAATATATAGAAAATGGATCTCATTATGTGTAATTTTTCTAACTCCTTTAGGGGTAGTCATGCTATCTCACTCCTAATTTTTTTAATCGGTTCTTATCTTTTTCGTTCTAACTTTGATTACAATTTTTCTTTTGTGTATAGATGGATTGAGTTCAGTGATTACAATTTTTCCGATATAATGTCTGAACCCTTCCGTCTCCAATTAAAACTAAGGGTTCAGTGATTATGCATGGTGATTCACCCTATTTTAATCCATTTAATTGCAGAAATTTTCCGAAACTGCACATAAAAACCAATGACTGAATATTTAATGTTGGGACAATGTAAGGAATTATTTAGATATAGTTACTATTTTTAATTTATATGAAGAAACCCACCGAGGTGGGAATCTCCCTATTGTTTTCCCCCCCTCAAATGAAGTGCCTTTGAACTAATCACTTGATTAAATATATTATTTCAGTTCTGCCAATCGCTAGAATCAGCCCAATTTCCATCAACCAATCAATGCATAAATATGCATATTCCTCAACCTATAAATAAGAGGCCAATGAGTACACTTTTCCTCACCCCATCCCACTCCATCCCAAAAGCTTTGCAAGTGCCAACTTCAGACGTGAATTGGAGAAGGCCATAAACAAACAACCGGTTGATTAATTAACCATCATGGTGAAGACACAAGGTCTGTTGATTGCCTTCGCATGGCTTTTGGTTGCCGCATTCATTATCATGGCTGCGAATCCCGTCGCCGCCGGTAGGCCAAACCCTGAAGTCGCCAGATGGGGTAGCCGGGGGTGGGGTCGCCGGAGTGGATGGGGTTACTGGGGCTACCACCACGGCAGCCACCACGGTTATCATCACGGTGACGACCACCACGGTCACCACCATGGTAATTATTAAATGATATTTATATCAAAGATTTTTTTTTTTCCAGGACATTCTATTTTCCTAGCTTCAGGTACTGATTTTAATAATAATATTGTTCGATAATTTTTTTGAAGGGCACCACCGTCGCATGCTGTGAACGAAAGGAATGGTGGGTTGGTACGATGGAGAGGGATGTGGGCATCTATCCTTAGCAAGATGTTGGTACAGCTAGCTATGGCTTGTACCTTACTATATGATTATAGTTTAAATTTGCTTAATTTCCAGTCCAGTTAAATGAAAGCTTATACATTGTGTACTTTATAAAAAGAAAAGGCACTTATAGTACTAATTGTCGCAGATTACTGTGTAATTCCTTTTGCATTCTGAATATTAAACTACATGATTAAATTAAGAAGTGTCTTGTGAGCTAGTTATGTAGGAAAGCTTCCAAACCTCAGATAACAACTAGCAAGCCTGCTTCCCCCTCTGGCAGTATGCCGAATATCCGTAGATATCGAGGTTGTCCCTCGCCTTTGGTTTCTTCCATCCATGTCGAGTTAACTAATGACTAGTGTTGGATGTCCTAGCCCTATGATCGTATTCATTGATGTCTTCTAATACACAACTACTCACATCAAACATAAAGACATACACGAAGAGTATAAAGACATTTAGAGAGTTTCGATTAGACAAACAAGTAAAGCAAGAAGACTAATTAAAGTTGTTTGAGTTTTTTTTATCTATAGATCAATGAGGGTAACGATATATGGGTTATTGTAATAGGTAGTGAATTCGAATAAAATCATTAATATTAAGACTCATTCACATCATGCATCGATGATTCATCTATTTCACATCATATACCCTTCAGGTCATTCTCTACCCCGTCCATGTCCCTCTTGTGATAGAGATTTAACTAGATAATGCATGCTTTCACTTAATGCCATTACGGAATTAAAGAAGAAAAAGGAATCGGGATAACATATAGTTAATTACTGGTTTCTATGAACCTTGACTATAGTCTATAACATCGATGATCTAATAATGAAACATTGATACTACTCGAAGTATAGATGGTGATCAATCCATCTCTACTCATGTAGCATCAATGGGGTATCACTAGAAGGTAATTTCTTGACAATCAGGAAATACTAAGCAAAATGCATTTAATAGCAAACAATAGAATCGAAAGCATCAATTGTATAAGAGCATTCATACTATGGAAACATCAATGGCCATCATAAGTATCGACCCAAGAAAGTCTTCATACATAAACATACGCATCGTAATCTTCACAGAAAATACAAGTATGAGATGAAATCGTAGCATCAATTCACATAAAAAAATCAAAATCACATCCAAATACAATCAATTTCGACTAGCTACATAGAACAGAATGAAGGTACCACCATTTAGGATGACAACATCTTGCTGGCTGTAGACCCCCTAATTCAACTAGGCTAAGCACTTGTGTAGAGTGTTACGTAGATTTGTGTGTTTGTACAGCCTTACTTGTACAATGGAGTCATGCCCTTTAATTATAGGGAAGAATCCGGCCTAAAACAACCTAAACGGACTAGGAGAGAGTCTCCTAAACCTAGCAGACTTAGGAAATTTATCAACAAGGCAAAGGGAAGGTGGCGCTATGGCATCGGTTGGACCTGCCACTCCAAATTTTTGTGGGTTGGGCTTCTTGATCCATGAACTTCTGTTCCTGAAGATTTGGGCTGCAACTTGGTGAAGCGGCGCGGTTGGACCAGTTGTTGGGGCCGCCGCTCATTCCTTCTTTAAATAGACTGCTTTTTCCTCCTATGGGCTCGTCTTGATGTATTCTAGCAACTAGTTGTTGACTTTTCCGTCATTGGATGACTTCTTTCTCATGAAAACTCCTTCAACTTCTCTTTATAGCTCATTTGATACTCCAGAGTTCTTCAATGTTTGATCCAATCTTACCTAAGTTTCTTTGTACCTTCAAAACCATCAAAACTATACCTAGAAGGCATCAATGATCAAATAGTTGTTAATTAGATAGGAAATATCACTGAATTGACTAAAGATGCTTCAACACAAGGGGAAATATATCAAGAATGAGAGTAACAATTACTATGAATAAAGTGTTATCAGACATACCCCACACTACTCATGCTCATGCAAGTCATTGAACCCTAGGTATCATTACTCCACCCGGATCTTAAGTAGTAGATCATAAGCAACTTACAAGTTCAACAATAGTATGAGAGACTCCTAGCCACATCAATATGCAAGGATATCATATCATATAGCCCACGCATTGACAACCAAATCATGCAGCAGAGTCTCAAAAAGTAAGGGTGGAGCAACTCCCTACCTCGCACGCTCTCTCCCCACCCTCACCCTCCCCTCCATCCCTCGCATGCTCTCTCTCTCTCTCTCTCTCTCTCTCTCTCTCTCTCTCTCCAGCGATGAGCTATATCGGTGATTTGTTGTCGGATTTTAGAACTAGGTTTTCCATATTGTTATTTATTTTGTTGTATCAATATTGATTTTTCGTTGTTGTATTGTTATCTTAGCATTATCATGTAGTGGTGTTGATGTTATTGTATTGATATTGGTGAAATCTGGAATGGTATTGGTTAATAAGTGATATATGTTGTGACATTGGTAGTGGTAGTATTTTGTATAGACTGTGGTGGCAGTTGTTATGTTTTGGTTTGATTTCTATAATGATATTGGTGTTTTTTGAAGTAGAAGTGTTTGTTTAATGAATTGGTGTTGATTTCCTGTTTTCATTTTTCAGTAATATTAGTTCGGTTGCGAGAAACCTTCATTATTTCTGGTGGAAAGCATAGAGGAAATGTAACAAAAAGAAGGGGAAATGAGAAGACAATCACATGTTTTCTTGAGATGTGAATAGTAGGAACACTAACAACACTATGTATTGCAAATTGCAATCATCTAAAGCTCCAATTTTTCTTTTGGCGAACTTTGTAATTGTTGTTACAGAAAGAATCTTTGATATTCATCAATTGACCATCGATAGTGTCGTCGGTTACTTGGGAGAAGTTAAATGGGGAATCTATTGTTGTATGGATTGGGAAGAAGAATGAGCATTGGCGAGATGACCCAATAGTAACAAACATGTTAGCAAGACTGAAAACATTATGGGTGTGTGATTCTAAAGTTTTAGTGAAATTATATAACGAACCATATTATCTACGATAGTTGTCGTTGTCGATGTCTTCCATTTTTCTTTAATTAATGATCCTCAATGTACTAAGTTTGCTTGCTATGTTCGATTAGTCATATTCAGTAAGCTTGATATGCACATTATTCTTTCCCTTCAAGTACCAAAGTTTCAGCAACCGATGAGTTGCTTCGCTTTGAGTTTTATCATAAAACTGTTGGCCTGATGTGTTTAACAGTTTGGAGGCCACATGATGAGCAATACCAAATAAGTTGCAGCAAAGTTATCGATCACAGTAATGACAATGCAAAACATGTGTAACGAACTGGAATATGGGTTACTTTTATGGATTGACATTAGAAGGATGGAATTGAACAGTGGGACATCCTCAATTAGGAGACATATAATTTGGTTTGTTTAGTGTGGAGGACACCATATTTGATTCATAAAAACTATAGAAAGTTAAACCATCACAAATAATATCTGCTTCACATCCATATTTGTCTTCCATATAAGACAGATGCATAGTCTTGACAACCAGCCATCAATTTGAAAATTAAAACTAACATAGTTGAATAAAACAAGTTAGAGTTCAAACATGAGGTTGAAAATATGAGCTAACCAACTCCTGTGATGCTGAAAAGGAAAGCATATGAAATGAGATGGACTAATAATTTCAGTTCTTAACTTGACACGAACTTAACATAAGTGTTTTATTTTTAGTAAAGCCGAACAACTTAGCTGATGTGGTGTACCTCTATGTGAATATAATATCCAAAACATATTGACACATTGAGAAAATGAAAATGAAAGTTGAAGCGAAGCAGGTCAATAGAAGATACGCAAATTCATAAGTGTAACAAACAATTAATAGCCCTAGGTGATGACTTGATATATACACATGTTTTTGTCCACCATTCTTATACCGTTTGCGTCTTATTTCTCGTGTTTTAGGCCGATTTCACGCTTGGTTGTTCTTGTTTGTGATATTTCAGGTCCTAGTACGTGAATGAAGGTTGGGAACGAGTTCGGGGTCGATTGGACGAAGATCGGACGTTTGGCGAGAAGCTAAGGAAGCCACACGGGCACGCCTAAAATCCCACACGGCCGTGTGACACCAAATTGCACGGGCAGGCCACACTGGCCGTGTAAGGGAACCCATGTGGCCGTGTGAAGGCTCGGTGATTTTCATACGGGCATCCTGGAAATCCACACGGCCGTGTGGTTTTGGCCGTGTAGCGAACCTGAAGCTACTTAATCGAAACGCCGTGTTTTGCACACTCACACGGGCAGCTGGGAAAGTCACACGGCCGTGTGGTCGAGAATTTCTGGGTTTTAACCCAAATTTGAGCCAAAGGAGAGGGAGTCAACTTTTTGGAGCAAAAACAGAGCCCTAGAGAGAGAAAGTGCGAAGAACACCCCCTAAGAGTGGTTTTGGAGCTGGGTTTCATCAATCAAGCCTGGAAATCATCCTTGGAGTGAAGATCATCATCTCAGAGCAGATTCTTCCCATTGTTATGAGTATGACTGTTTTTTATTTTGTTTCCCTCTCTCTCTATGGAGTAGAACTTTCTCTCACTTGGGTATGAAGAATCCTAGTTCCATGTGTTAGGATCTTGATTGTAATGACTTAGGATTGTTATACTATTTGATTTTAATCGAATGATGCATGATTTGTTGAATCAATTGAAGTCTGATCATCTTTTCTTGATTTCTGCTGCAACTTGAGATAGATAGAATCTGATTAGATTGTTAGAGCTTCATCATTCGGTAGTGGTAGATTGGTTATACGAGAGGTAATCAATCTACTGCTTTGTACTTGAACCTAATTCCAGTAGTGGAGTTTTGCGTTCATAGCCTCAGCTTTCTATCCCGGTGAAGACTAGTCGTCTGCTGGGTAGTTGGACTGAGAGGGCTTGGTCAGCTTAAGAGATTCCAAGCTACTGTCGGATCTTCCACAGTTTAATCAACAGTAAATAGACCCATGGTAATTACAACTGAGACCTAACTAATGAGCTAGGGGGACTCATTCCCAAGTGACTCTTCCTTTTCTTTAGAAAACCGAATCGTTTCCTGCTTTCTTATTGCTTTTACTTAAATCAACAATCACTTGACTTAGTTGGCTAGATAAGAGATATTCAAGGAGTAGGCAGTAGATCTAGACCTCGGGTTGACATCAGAGCTTGCCTGTTACTGCATTTACGGACTGCGATTACACTTGGTCGCAGTTTGGTGTTG